GGTGCTGACAACCCACGCTACGCCACTGTAGTCAGAACCTCTTTTCTTGTAACTTGAAATCATTGGTTCGGGTCTTAGACTCTAGAGCAGGAGAAAACAAGCTTGCTCCATTCTCAGCTATCCTATCTCCTCTCAGTGTCTTCTTTGCTAGGCTAAACATACTCAGATCCCTCAACCATTCCTCATAACACTTGGTTTCCTTCCAGACCCTTGCTCATCTTGGTCGCCCTCCTCTGCACACGTTCCATCTTTTCTGTATCCTCCTTAAATTGGGGCACCATCCTGCCAACGTCCCTGGTGTGAACAGAAACAGAACCAAATCTGACACTAAGGAAGTCATGCTGATGTGAGCAGCTAGAGGGGGGAAGGCTGGAAAACACACTGGGAAAAACAGCTTCACTGCACTCTAATGTGAACACATCAGTTGTGTAGGAAGGCTGGGGCTAGGAGGTTGAAGGGTGGCACTGGAGCTGCCGAGTGACACAATTTTGGTGGATCTCCTAACCAAAGTTCAACAACTTTGGGCAATCTCTTTAAAAAAGCTCTGTCCCAGGCTCCGGTGGGGGTTGCTATGCCACTTAAACACACCGAGAATAGGTGCCTCATACTGAAGTCTGTTCCTTTTCTCTTACCTGGATTACATAGGTAAGGTAAAGGTAAAGGACCCCTGGACGGTAAAGTCCAGTCAAAGGTCGCTATGGGGTTGTGGTGCTCATCTCGCCTTCAGGCCGAGGGAGCCAGTGTTTGTCTACAGACAGCTTTCCAGGTCATGTGGCCAGCATGACTAAACCGCTTCTGGTGCAATGGGACACCGTGATGGAAACCAGAGCGCACAGAAATGTTGTTTACCTTCCCGCCACAGTGGTACCTATTTATCTACTTGCACTGGCATGCTTTCGAACTGCTAGCTTGGCAGGAGCTGGGACAGAGCAACAGGAGCTCACCCCGTCACGGGGATTCGAACCGCCAACCTTCTGATCAGCAAGCCCAAGAGGCTCAGTGGTTTAGACCACAGTGCCACCCGCGTCCCTTTCACCTGGATTACATAACCCTTAGCTGGGGAAGAGATTGAGGAAGGGAGAAGAAAAGTATGCCTTTTGGTGTCAGGCAGTAACTTCTAAGTACGATTGCTGGGAACTGCAGGAGGGAAAAGTGCTCATGTGCTTGAGGGTTTCCTACAGCCATTTTGTTGGCCACTCTAAGAACAGGATGGCGGACTAGACAGGCCATTGGCTCATGTTCTTATCTCGGGCATGTTTACTTGGAAGTTAAATCCTACTGTATCAAATGGGGCTTTACTCTCATGTAAGTGCATAATAGGAGTGTAGCCTAAGTTGGGACATGAAATAGATATACAAAAATATGCAGTGTGAAAAAAAATGCACTCTCTCTCTTACGCTCATTCATAATACTAGAAACCAGTGTCAACAAGTCAGTTAAAAGGAAGCATATGTTGAAACAAAGCACAATGAACTTATAGGCTTTACGGCTATTTTAAATAGCTTTAAAAAGAGATCAGACAAGTTGACAAAGTGCAGGTTTAGCTGCCAGCTCAAAGCACAATATTTAGCATGTCTACTCAGAAGTAAGTTCCATTGTGTTCAGTGAGGCTTAGCAGGTGTAGGATTGCAGTGTTAACCCCTGGCAGTTATAAATAGAAATCCAAATTCAGAGACTGTAGATTAGGGGGAAGATGATGGCTCTTACTCTATGCTTGCGTATTTCAGAATCAATGTGCTGGATGCTGTGGGAAAGGGGATGTTATTCAGTAAAGCTCTTCTCATGTTATGTCCGGGATAGGCAACCCGCAGCCACTCAGCTTGAATCATCCCTGGTCATTGGCCATGTTCTCTTGGGCTGGTGGGACTTGGACTCCAACTGCAGGTCCTCCATACCTAGTGCATCACTGACCTGAGGCTCGTTGAAGACCGTGAGTTATCTAACAGTAAGGCAAATGCTTGTAGCTCACCAATCTTTGGCAGAAGAATAGGTTAAAGAGTAAACCCTACACAAATCTGGAGTGGAGTCCTTCAGGTGGTTGGATGGTTGTTGTTTAGTCGTTTAGTCGTGTCCGACTCTTCGTGACCCCCTGGACCAGAGCACGCCAGGCACTCCTGTCTTCCACTGCCTCCCGCAGTTTGGTCAAACTCATGTTAGTAGCTTCAAGAACACTGTCCAACCATCTCGTCCTCTGCCGTCCCCTTCTCCTTGTGCCCTCAATCTTTCCCAGCATCAGGGTCTTTTCCAGGGAGTCTTCTCTTCTCATGAGGTGGCCAAAGTATTGGAGCCTCAGCTTCAGGATCTGTCCTTCCAGTGAGCACTCAGGGCTGATTTCCTTCAGAATGGAGAGGTTTGATCTTCTTGCAGTCCATGGGACTCTCAAGAGTCTCCTCCAACACTATAATTCAAAAGCATCAATTCTTCAGTGATCAGCCTTCTTTATGGTCCAGCTCTCACTTCCATACATCACTACTGGGAAAACCATAGCTTTAACTATACGGACCTTTGTTGGCAAGGTGATATCTCTGCTTTTTAAGATGCTGTCTAGGTTTGTCATTGCTTTTCTCCCAAGAAGCAGGCGTCTTTTAATTTCGTGACTGCTGTTACCATCTGCAGTGATCATGGAGCCTAAGAAAGTAAAGTCTCTCACTGCCTCCATTTCTTCCCCTTCTATTTGCCAGGAGGTGATGGGACCAGTGGCCACGATCTTAGTTTTTCTGATGTTGAGCTTCAGACCATATTTTGCACCCTCCTCTTTCACCCTCATTAAAAGGTTCTTTAACTCCTCCTCACTTTCTGCCATCAAGGTTGTGTCATCTGCATATCTGAGGTTGTTGATATTTCTTCTGGCAATCTTAATTCCAGCCTGGGATTCATCCAGCCCAGCCTTTCGCATGATGAATTCTGCATACAAGTTAAATAAGCAGGGAGACAATATACAGCCTTGTCATACTCCTTTCCCAATTTCCCCAAACTCCATGGACAAAGGCAACAGGTTGGATGGTGCCTTGTTTCAACTCCTGCAGGTGCCGAATGTATTGCTCTGCTTTCCTTTGGAGCACATCAGTGAGGCCGAGAGGGGGTTCTTGTTGTCTGGGCACCCCAGGACCTCCACACACACTGCCTAGGCTTGTGCCCCAGAGCGGTCACTTTGGTCCTGCAAATGCAGCAAAAACAATGTGGGAGGCAGCAGTTATGGGTTACTCTGCAGCCACAGCAGGAGCTGTGATTCTCAAGTGGTTTGACACCACCCCTGGAGGTGCGCTGCATTGTGTCTCAAGACAGACAAAGATCTCTAGAAAGGGGGATGGGTTTGCAACACCCTTCTGTTCCATTCCTGTTTGGAGAACAGAGTGGTCCCTAGGGACACAGAAGCTTCCCATCCCTGGTTTTTAGAAAAGGTGAGGAAATTGCTTTCTATAATAGGGATGAATCACCAGTTTTGCTCTCTGGTGCTTTTGGAATCCAGTTTCCCGCAAAAAAAGAAATAAATGTCATTGTGCTCCCTCCTTCTTCCCACGTATAATCTCAGTGCAGTCAACCTCAAACAAAAGCATGACAATGAGATTCCTGAAAGTTAGTGATCAGTGGTGTTTGCAGTGTACACTGCAATGCGAGTGTGTGTCCAAAATAAAGGTTTTGTTGGCCCAATGAATATTGTGAATAAAAGTGTTTTAACAGACTGAAAAGCAAACAGACGGCAGCGGAACTTGTTTGTCGTTCAAACACCGTCCTTCTTTGTTTCTAACTCAAACACTGGAGCGCAGGAGGAACAAGGTGTTTTAAACCGAACCGAAGAGATTTGCCGACCTGATAAAGATGCCGTGTAAACAAAGCCCCACAGAGCCCAAAGCTTAAAAACAAAAGAAATCAGCCCTCCTAGATCAGCCCAAACTACTTGCTTTTACAATCATGATTACACCTATCTGGTTTTGCATTAATTTTCCTTTAGAAAAAATGAGAGAATTTCACCTTTCCGGAGCTAGAGCTTGCAATTGCTCACCGTGGCCATTGGGAGGCGCCTTCTCCTCTGGAGTCCGCCTCGGGAAGGCGAACGCGCGCCGTATGTGTACCGAGGGCGCGCGCGTGTATTGGAATGAGAAACCGTGTGCTCGTGTAAATAAAGGACACGCAACAATAAAAAAATGAAACAGAGCAATTGCTGCTTCTACTTAAGAACAAAGCAAAAGACCCGCACGACCCCCGTTTACAGGAGGGGAGCCTAACCATGTTTCTCAGATGCACATTTATATTGTATCCGGGAACAAACAGGCCTAGGATTAAACTAAGTTATAATTAAATAAATGGGATTTAGAATATTAAGAAGTGTGAGTTAGATGGACTGTAATTGGAAATTGTTTTAGTTTAATAATGATACTGGAAAGCTGTTACCTTCAACTACAAGGAAACTCAGAAGGGAGGGACTAGAGGAAGTCAACCAAGATGTTTAAAAGGTTGGATTTGTAAAGAATTAAGATTGTTGTTATGTTATCTGTTTATTGTTCTTTCCCCCCTTTTTTTCGTTCATTGATGTATTTTTCTTTCTTTTTTTCTGTTTTTGTGTATCATTCCGCTTTGTGGTTTTTGTTCTCATTGTGGAAAATCTCATAAAATTTCTATATATATAGAATATACACAATATATATATATATATAGTATCCGGGCAACAATCTTACCAAAAGTGCAGAATTTGGAAATGTATCCCACGCCTTCCGATCTGCAAACCCCGCACCTTCCCCTCCCCCGCAGCCCAGAGCTTTGCATTCACAATCCCTTGCCACCTTTTCCTTCCTTTGAACCGTCGCGAGCCCAAACTCTCCAGAAGGGAAAAACAGAAGAAATCCAAAAGCGAGAGCTGTACACTAGTTGGGGGTGGGAAACGAGGCAACCTACCCCACTGGTTCCGCTAAGCTCCGCCTCTCATTATTGATAGCGCTTTCTATTGGCCCGGGCGAGGCTCTCAGCCCGCCCCCCTCGCGACTTGCTTGGGAGCTCCGCCCCCTGCCTTCTCTTAGCTCCGGAGCTCAAGGAAAGGTTTTTTTTTTCCGCTCTTGATTGCGCGCGGCTCGCCAGCGGCTGCAATAGAACCGTTCCAAGCCCGGGCGCAGAAGCAGGAAGGAGGGGAACCTTCAGGTCGCGGGTTCGAGTCCCCGGTGGTTCCGTCGCTTCCTCCCACCACTCCCGCAGCTCGGGTGGAAGAGGAGAAACAGCGGCATATTTGCACCCCGCGCTCCCACGTCCTCCTTCCCTCTCTCGTGGGTGGCCGGGAAAAGGAAAGCCGCACTTTCCCCAGCCCCCGCCCCACCTGGATCTGGCCGCCTGACTCTTGCTGGAAGGGAGAAAGCTCCGAGGCTGCTTCTCCCCTTGTCGTGTTTGGTGGTGCATCGCTTGCTTTGCAGGGACACCCGTCCGCCGCTGCTTTCCTTTCGTTGGCCGGCTTTCGCCTCGCTGCCCGAGGGGCCCCCTCCTCCGCAGCCCTCCGGATCCATGGCGACTGGGTTGGTGGAGCCGGTCTATGGACTTTCGGAAGAAGAGGTAAGCCGGGCGCCGGCAGAGAGAGAGAGTGGAGCTGAGCTGAGCGATGCACGCGTGTTTCCGGGGTGTGTGTGTGTGTGTGTATATATGTGATGTGCGTGTCATGTTTTGGAGCGTCTCTCCGGCACTCTTTGTCCCTGCCCGCTTTGCATTCCGGTTTGCAAAACAGGGAAGTCGTCCCTTCCCCCCACCCCCGCCCTTTCTCTCTCTTTATTTTTGCAAATTGGGTGGGGAGAAGAGGGGGAGGGAACCAGGGTGGGGGGCAGGAGAGGAAGGGGGCAACGAAGGCTTTTCTGTGGCTGAGGTTGCCTTGCAAAAAAAAAAAAAGCATTGCATGGGCACGGTAGACGACGTTGGGGGGGGAGAGAGAGAAAGAAAGAGAAATGCGTGTTTCCCTTTCTGCAAAGAGAGATTGGGACTTGAACGAAAGCTTGTTATCGCATCATCTCGATTGGGGGATCAGGGTGGTATCTTGCCAACAAAGCTGCTGGGAGCGAAAGTCTTTGAGCTCCAGTTCCTTCGGTTGGGAGCGGTGTGGAAATGCAAAGCCAGGAGTGGGGGGAGGGACAGGGGGTCCCGTGGGGGTTTCCCTCCGACGAGCTCTGCACTCCCCGCCCCCCACTCTGGATGAAGCCGGCCTTCCCGAATCAAAAATGCAAATAAATAAATAAAATAAAGCGCGAAATGCAGAGTTAGAACGGGGCTTGCTGCACGGTCCTTTGTCAATAACAGGTTCTGCTTCCTAGCAAAGCCAGGCGCTTTGGAGTGAAAGCTGGGAAGGAAAGGGGCGGGTGGCGAGCCAGGTGAGCGGCCTCTTTATGACTGCACAGGTAGGTGAATCGCGAGGTGGGAGAGGAGTAGCATCTTTTCCATTGTTTCCCTTGAGATGAGCCCGGGAGGACTTGGAAGGCTGTGTGCTTCCTATAGCACGTGTGCAAATAGGAGAGAGAAATGCTCCACATAGTTTAAATCTCCTCTTTTCCAGGAACTCTCTTCCTCTAAGGAAGCTGGTGTACTTAATGAATCATATGAAAGAAACGATGGGCATGTGTGTGTGTGTGCATGTGAATTTAATATATGGGCTTTCCCAGGAAGAACGGCTTGTACCAGCAATTGCACAGAAATGCTTCCCGGTCGACCCATTTAGTCTTCCGCAGCAGGTATTGTTGACATGGGCATTGACAGAGCGCCTTTTGGTTGGTGAAGCAAGTGTTGCCACCCAGATGTGCCACAACCCGTGTTTTGCGATGGTTGTGTGGATTTGGATGCCCGTGCACACATGGGAGATGAGCAAACGGAGGGCTAAATGATTCTGTCCTTCCATTAGTGTACTGTTTAAGCTTTTGCTTTAAAACAAAAAAACCACCATTGAGATATTGTGGGGTAGATCTAGGAAAGGGGCTTTGCCTGGTGGCAGTGGGCACCCAATGCAAGCTTATAAAATCACCACACCAGTGAGTGGCATGCCATGGAGGGAGTGAATTTGGGGCTGAAACAGAGACTGAGAACAGAGGAATGGCAGGCAAGAATCATGAGCCAAGGAAACAGGAGTGGTTGTGTGTGTGTGTACATGCAGAAGACTTGGCGCTGATTTCCTTGCTCCTCCCCCTCACCAATCAATAGGGAGCTATATTGTGCTCGCTTTGCTTACTTCTTTCCCCACCTCTTCTCGTTGCTCCCTTTCCAGTCTGTGTAGGTGAAGGCAGAAGCTGCTCACATCTGCACATCTTCCGTCTCCCGGGCAATGTGCATTTCCAGATGTGCGGTAGGAAAGCGTGGGTGTATTTTGGAAAAAAAAATAAATGATCAGGCCAAGCTGGGTAGCTCATTTGCTAGAGCATGAGGCTCTGAATATCAGGGGCCGCGAGTTCAAGCCCCATGTTGGGCAAAAGATTCCTGCATTGCAGGGGGTTGGACTAGATGACCCACAGGGTCCCTTCGAACGCTACGACCCTGTGATTCTAAAAAGCTGATCGTGGAGGTACGTTTACACACCCTTAGGTTGGAAGGGACCATAGGATCCTGGGAGGAGATTTGTAAGCTGCTGTTTGTTTGCTGAAACGTAAATCCAGTAGGGCGAGAGGGTTGGGTGACAACTTTGCCTTCTCAGAACTGTGAAACTAACACGGCAACAAAATTAATAGGAACAGGTACTTCTTGGGTGTTGGGGTGGTTTTTGTGAGGAAGACACATGGGAATGCATTATCATTACTATAATTATTAATTAAATTTGTATAGTGCCCCTTAGCAGAAGATGCCAGGCCAGCTCACAACATAAAAATAGAAAATGGAAACACAAAATACATAAAACAAAACAAACCAGCAACCCCAATACATTTAAAATTCCATAGAAAGTTAATCAGCCAAACAGCTAGTCTAATAATAATAATAATAATAATAATAATAATAATAAATTTTTATTTATACCCCGCCCTCCCCAGCCAAGACAGGGCTCAGGGTCTTGAGGAACATTTTCTCCTGGTGCCTAAAGATATGTAATGACGGTGCCAGCCAAACCTCCCTGGGGAGAGCATTCCACAAATGGGGAGCCACCACAGAAAAGGCCTGTTCTTGTGTTGCTATCCGCAAGACCTCTCATGGAGGAGGCACATGAAGAATGTAGATACTGGATAGAAAAGACACTGGGATGGTGTCCCATTGTAATCAATGGGGATTCGAACCCTGGTCTCGCAGGTCCTAGTCCAGGGGTCTGCAACCTTTAAGACAAAAAGAGCCACTTGGACCCGTTTCCGAAGGGGGGGGGGAAAGGGAGCCGCAAAACCACTGCGACATTTAAAACAAATATATCTCCGGAGCCGCGATCTGACAGCGGGCGGGAAGGTGATGTCGGGACGGTGCGTGACTAACACACACACCGCCCCCATGCGACGTCACAGCCAGTACAGCGCCTGCCACAGTGGGGAGTGTCGGGGCGCACAATGTGCCTCCTCCCCTCGCTAGTATCCGCCCCGGAGCCGCGGCAAAGGTGTAAAAGAGCCACATGCGGCTCCGGAGCCGCGGGTTGCAGACCCCTGTCCTAGTCTGATGCTCCAAATACTATGCCAATCTGGCTCTTAGTGTTTTTGCAGGTAGACGTGTGCGTAGGGATTTGGACGGTGGCCTCAAAGTGCAAGCAGGTTGATAGTGGTTCTTAAAGTCTGGTGGTTGCAGATTTAGCTGGGCATAATGTTTTCTCAGTTTCATGTGCAGAGAGACATGAAATTGAGCCTGATCAAGCATATTTTGTTGCATATATAAAATTCCAATAGTTGGTGCTTGGCGCTCAGTCCTTGGTCCTTAAAAAAAAGTTATCTAATCAGCTTTTTATGTGCCCAATCTGGAGGGCAAAGATTGCTTCTGCTAACATGTAATCTTGCAGGAGCCTTTTGGGTGTTGCTGCTCTGCAGATAATGCCAACGCAATTCCGCATCCAAATTCCCTGGTGTTACATTATTAGCCATAATGGCCAAGGCAGTAAAAATCACAGCAGATAAAAGTTCAAGCTATTAAATTGTACATGGACCTTTTGTGCAAGATCAGAGTCTAGTTTAAGACTCGGTGGTTCTGAAGAGGAAGCCTGTCCTAAACAATTGCTGGGATTAGAGACACTGGATGCCTTTTTAGATGGAGGTCGGCAGCTGAAAGCCCCCAAGCCAAATCTGCCTCCCTGGGGTTGCCAACTTAAGTAAAGGTAAAGGTACCCCTGCCCGTACGGGCCAGTCGTGTTCGACTCTAGGGTTGTGCGCCCATCTCACTCAAGAGGCCGGGGGCCAGCGCTGTCCGGAGACACTTCCGGGTCACGTGGCCAGCGTGACAAGCTGCATCTGGCGAGCCAGCGCAGCACACGGAAACGCCGTTTACCTTCCCGCCAGTAAGCGGTCCCTATTTATCTACTTGCACCCGGGAGTGCTTTCGAACTGCTAGGTTGGCAGGCGCTGGAACCGAGCAACGGGAGCGCACCCCGCAGCGGGGATTCGAACCGCCGACCTGACGATCGGCAAGTCCTAGGCGCTGAGGTTTTACCCACAGCGCCACCCGCGTCCCTTGGGGTTGCCAACTTAGATGGCTTTAAAGGAAGATTGTACAAATTCATGGGAGATAAGGCTACTAGCCATTAGGCAGAGGCTGGTATTTCTTCTGAATACCAGTCGCCAGCATTCAAAGTTTGCCAGGTGCTAGGAACATTTTCTTGACACTTTTTCGCATACTAGCAACGCGTCCTGTGGAATTCTATCTGTTGTACTTTATCTGCGCAGTCGGAATGAATTTCAGGACCTGAAAAGCCGTATTAAAAAAATATGACTTTCGAGCCATCTGGACCCCAAATGGCAACTAGATCTTCTGTTTTGGTGACTGTAATCCTTATGTAAGGGACTGGGACTCAGGTACAACCTTCAGAATTTCTGCGGGGTTTTATATCATTAGCGGGTACATCAGAGGTTGGAATTCTGAAGCTGTCAGGAAAGCCTGGACCAACCCCGTATCAGCCTTGCAGAAGCGTATATGCCGGGAGTGAGTTAGTCGGTATATAGGGTATGTGTGTGGTGGCTGAGGTTGATGGGAGTTGTGGTCCAAAACTTCTGGTGTACATCAGGTTGGTAAAAGCTGCTATATAGAACCAGGGTTGGGAGACCTGAGGCTTGGAGGGACCTGTTTGGTTTCCACTAGAACCAGAGTTCCATTGACTGAATCCATGCGCAGAATCGTGGCTCAGGAAAAAGTTGCCTCCCCACCCCCCAAAATGTATTGTGCTGGAGCTTTCACACAGATCCTTTCACATTACAAACCACCTCCTTCTTTTTAGTATTTTCATTAGCCTATTTTTGTTTTGGGTGGGGAGGCTTTTCAAGCCGACAGAAGTCAGAAACACTTACTGATCTCCTCAAAATTACCTGAAGTGCAGTCGTGCTTTGGCATTACGCCGGAATGGAATGCTAACGGAATGAAATGGATGTCTGAATTGGGGGTTCGTCTCCCATGATAACTGGCTATGTAAATTG